TTGGGCAGGGCTTATTCCAACTAAAACTAGTTTCGGCACTATGCCAAACAGTATGTTTGGGCTACGAACAATCCTAACCTGGTTTTATCCTAAACTAATTTTGGTCAATCCTAACCCAGTTTCATCCTAAAGTGATTCTAGTTTGAACAAAGGGAGGGGTGATTCAAATTAAGACCAGCTTAATGAGCATTTTTACCTACAAAAATTAGGCCAACTTTAGCTAAGTTTTTTGCCAAACAACAAAAATTGGGCCAACTTTTGCTAAGTTTTTTGCCAAACAAAAAAACACTTAAAACCGGTCCAGGTTCAATCCTAACCTAGTTGTAAAGGATTATCGATTATAATTTGAGGAAGTCATCCTTACGCATATAATCATAAAAACCAGGTAGTTGCAGAAAAATTTGCAAATCATCATAAACAAATAGGATTCATTACATTCCAACACTTAAGGTAACATGGTTATCAACTTGTCTTTATATCTGTAAGAGCAATTTTGAGATTACTAACTCAAATTACAGTAGAATCCACATAGAGTATTCACTGGCAAAAAACAAAGCATCCTAGACGAAATTTTCCATCTAGAATGGCCAGATTTTTATCTAAGATGATCATCCTAGACGGAATTTCGTAGACGAAACTTGTTGGTCTAATAAGTTTCCGTCGAGGATGCGTCATATTCTAGATGGAATTCCGTTTAGAAAAATCATCCTAGATGGAATTCCGTTTAGAAAAATCATCCTAGATGGAAATACATCCTAGAGAACAAGATATCATCTAGAATATTTCCAGATGGATAAGACAACCGTCTAGGATGCATCCTAGATGAAATTTCGTCTAGGATGCTCATTCTGCATCCTAGACTGGAATTCCGTCTAAGATGCTCATCCTAGATAGAAATTTTATCTACGATGCGTCTAGGATGCTCATTCTGCATCCTAGACTGGAATTCCGTCTAAGATGCTCATCCTAGATAGAAATTTTGTCTACGATGCGTCTTTTTTTTCCATTTTGGCTCCCTTTATCCTCTTCATATCTAATCACAAAACATATATGAACTCTGGTAGAGCTAACACCATGATGTAATATTTAATAAAATATAACACACACATAAGTTGCCATGCAAACATAATGAAAGAATCATATATAGTATAGAAATTCAATTCTACAAATAGAAGATATAACAAAGAAGTTAAAATATAAATTTAGAATACATGTTATACATTGTTACATATTGTTCTTTTCATCTCTTCCGGCTAAAGGATGAGTTCTGCAACCTAAAAAAACTCCGGAATATGATCCATGAATCAATACTTATACTCGATTAGCACTAATACCATTCAAGCCTGAAAACACACAAAACGTATGATTACAAGGTTGAGTTCTACAAGTTAATTTTTTGTAGAACTCAACCTTTTTTTTATTTTTTTTGGTTGTTTTTCATTTACCAAAAAAAAAAAGGTTGAGTTCTACAAAAAATTGACTTGTAGCTTATTATTACCTGCTTCAAATCCTCATCACAGGTATGCTAAGATTGAATTGCTGCTTGAAATTTAATTGCAGCCTGATCACATCCCTGTACACACAAAAAGAACCCAAATTTCACTTCCCCTAGCAAACTAACCACTACATGTTTATATATTTCTGATATTCCTAAGAAGATAAATTTCAAGATTGAATCACAAAAATGGAACCTTGCAGCAGCACATGGAACATCGAATCCTCCTGTAAACATAAAAATGAACTCAATTATATGAACTCAGATCAACCATATGTTTTTTTTTTTTTTGGTCAATGAAAAATTTTATTCATTTACCAAGTATGGAAATAATAAGTACATCAAGAGAATGTTCACTCAAGACTGGTTATAGAATCTAGTCTTCAAACTTTACAATTTATCTACATATTCTTTCATATAGTGTGGTATTTTGTCATTTAAAATTCTTGTATACACTTGCATCTTTATCATACTAAAGAGATAATCCGAGCTTCTTGATTTCTGTTGGAAGATTCTTAAATTTCTCTCTTGCCATATCATGTACACTGATACGGATAATGCCATTCTCTTCAACTTTTTTTTGTGATTTTTCCCCCTCAAGCTCCTGTTGTACCAATTAATGATTTGGTTCCACCCACATGATCTCCAGTTGAAACATAACCAATCCATTACCTTATTCCACACCCTTGCAGAATAAAGGCAGTCAAAAAACAGATGGTGACATGTTTCTGTTTGGCCTTCCCTAGAGCATAAAACACACAAATTGGAGCTCAAGATCCTCATTCTACATAGTCTCTCTTGTGTTAAGAGTCTTGATTGAACTGCCAACCAGAGGATAAAGGAATGTTTAGATATATGCCATCCGCCCCCACACAGTTCCTGCCCATGTTGCCAGGTCAGATTGTTGAAAAAGATTCCTGCACATCACCGATACACTGAGCTTGCCATTAATACAGCTTTCTCTGATGGCATTTTGCAAATTATTAACACCTCCGAGCTTATCAATCAGCAAATTTCTCACTCTCAGCAGTTGCCTCCACAGCCATGAATCGCATTTCTTAGCTTGGACTTGCCAGATATTATTTTGTCTCAGATAGTGACCATGAATCCATTTAATCCAGAGAATATCTTTCTTAAGATGTATCATCCAAAGGAGCTTCGCAGCCATAGCATAATTCCAAGATTTAGCTGAAAACAACCCCAGGCCACCATGGTCAATCCCCTGACATACAGATTCCCAGGACACTAAATGAATTTTGTGACCCCATAAGAAGTCAGAACACATACTATCAATTTTTTCAAGAACTCCCTAAGGATTTCTGAAATTTGTTTTGCATTTACAGGCTTTTATTCCTGTTTGTAATTTCCATGTATTGGCTATTGCTCTGATTCTTGAGCTTTAGCTTCTTATTTTCTGGTATTCTCATATTGAGATCATTGATGTACATACAACTTTCATATTTGGAGATGAAATAAAATTTTCATTTACCAAAAATTTTTTTTTTCAAGAACTTTGATGGGAAGAATATAGTTTTTTTTTTGGTCAATGAAAATTTTTTATTCATTTACCAATGAAAGAATTATATGTACAGCATGATACTCAGTTTAACTGAGATTGCAAGAATACGAGAAAGATACAAAAACCCTTACAATATCAAGGGATAATCATCTCTATACTTCAGAATAGTACTGTTAAAGATGATAGTCGCTATATCGATCTTTATTACTCTCACCAGCTGGTCTTCATTCCTATTTTGCTGTTGAAAAAGTCTTAAATTTCTTTCTCTCCATATGCTGTATATTGTAGCATTCAATGCTAGTCTTTTGATCCTTTGTTTTGCTCCCTTTCCCCTTAGCCTGGCATTGTACCAGTCCTGAAGTAGCTGCCAATTCGATGATCTCCAATCAAATTTCAACCATTCCATAATGTGATTCCAGACATTGCACGAGTAAGTGCATTCAAAAAATAGATGGTCTCTAGACTCCAAGCAAGAACCTGCACACAGGCTACATGAATTAATAGAGATGATTCCTCTCTTCATAAGTCTGTCTTGAGTTAGCAGTTTGTTCTGAACTGCTAACCAGTGGATAAATGAATGTTTAGGAATAGATAAACCATCCCAAATTGTTTTGAACCACTGAACCTTATTGGCAGCAGGGACAAGAGCTTCATAAAGGGCGGAGAGTTTAATTTTTGTTCCCTGGCAGCAAGAGATAATGAGTTCTTTCAGTTTATCAACTCCTCCACAAAAGGCAATAGCTTTGTCTCTCATTTTCAACAGTTGCCTCCATAACCAAGAATCACTCTTCTTAGGGTTAGGGTTAGGCAATAGCTTTGTCTCTCATTTTCAACAGTTGCCTCCATAACTATATTCTGGGAAGAATATAGTTACTAGTCCAATAGATCTGAATTCCCATAATGACTGATTTTATCAACTGTAATCTGCCAGCATATGATAGTTGTTTCCTTTTGAGCCAGTTTTGAAATTGTTCAGAAATTCTGCTAATAAGAGGAGAGCAGTCTAGGCAAGAGAGTCTTTTAGAGATAAGAGGCATACCCAAATAGCGCACTGGTAGAACCCCCTCCGAAAAGCTAAGGGAGTTACAGATTTGATTTTTCTGGCTTTCATCAATCCCACTCAGAAATATGGAGCATTTAGTTGGATTAGGTTCGAGGCCAGAAACTTGGCTAAATTATGTTAGGCAGTCCTTTAATTTTGAAATTGTTCCTATATCAGCTTTTCCAAACATGAGGAGATCATCTGCAAACACTAGATGAGTTATGTTCAGCCTCGGACATTTGGGATGGAATTTATAAGCTCTGTCCTCTTTGAGAGTGCTGAGTTTCCGAGACAAGTATTCCATTCCAATAACAAATAGGTATGGAGATAAGGGGTCCCCTTGCCTCAGTCCTCTAGCCCCTTGAAAGTAGCCATGAAGAACACCATTGATTGAGATGGAAAACTTGGGGGTTGAAATGCATTCCATGATCCAAGAAGTCATATTTTCAGGAAATTTCAATCCTATCAGCATTTTTCTGATGAAATCCCAGGAGATTGTATCAAAAGCCTTCCTCAAATCAATGTTCAAAATAGCACGAGGGGAAGAATGCTTTCTACCATAGTGTTTAACAATCTCATGAGCTAAGAGGATATTACTTGATATAAGTCTACCCTTTACGAATGCACTTTGAGCATCACTTATCAGATATCCCATTACTCCTTGAATTCTAGTTGCAATGACTTTAGTAATGATTTTGTACAAACAATTGCAGCAAGATATAGGTCTGTAGTCAGATGCATATTGTGGATTGAGAATCTTTGGAATTAAGGTGATGGAGGTAGTATTGATTGTACCAAGAAGTTTCCCTGAGGTAAAGAATTCTTCAACTGCTGAGAAAAGTTCCTCACTGATAATACTCCAGGAGGCTTTGAAGAATAGAGCACTGTAACCATCTGGTCTAGGACTTTTATCATTTGACATAGAGCAGATAGCTTTTTTTATTTCATCTCTTGTAATTGGGGGTACTAAGAGCTTGTCTCTGATCATGTGAGAGGAGAGGTCCATTAGCAATCACCATCGGATCAGGATCAGATGTAGGGACTGAGGTTCCCAGCAATTTGTTGTAGTATCCAACAATTTCAGATATAATACCCTCATTATCAGTGATTCTATCTCCTCTTTCATTATATAGCGTAAGAATTCTATTATGATGCCTTTTCTTTTTCATGATAGAGTGGAAGAATTTAGAGCCTTTATCTCCTTCTAAACTCCAACTGATATTAGCTTTTTGCTTGTAGAAGGAAGATTCACATTCCAGTAATCTGTCATATTTTTTGATACACTCCTTTTCTCTATTGATCAAATCTGAACTGAAGGGATCACCATTTAACAGCCTTTGAGTATCAGCTAATTCATCTTTTGCTCTATGCACTTGTTCACTTATATTCATAAAATGCTTCTTGTTCAGTTCTTTGAGAGCAAGCTTTAACTTCTTGAGCTTTGTGTGGAAACTGTACATTTTGTAACCTTCAATGTTTTGCTCCCAGACTTTTTTGACTGTAGGGATGAACTCAGGATGTTTTACCCACATGTTGAAGAATTTGAATGGCCTTTTACCCTTTATAGCATCATCTTCAATAGTTAACAAGGCAGGAGAATGATCAGAACATCTAGGCAGCAGAAACTCCACTTGACTGGTTGTATATTGATGGATCCAATCCTCATTAACCAAGCATCTGTCTAATCTAGACCAGATTCTGTTATTAGCATCCTGTTTATTATTCTATGTGAAGTAGCATCCAATTGATTTTAGATGAAGTAAATGACTTGCACTGATGAAATTTTGAAAATCCTCTATATCAGTATCAGAAACTGGTATACCTCCAATCTTTTCATCATAGCTAGAAATTGTATTGAAATCCCCTCCAATGACCCAGGGACCATTGACGAAGATCTCTCCAAAGGGTCTTTATGTTAGCCATTTGATTCTGAGCATAAACAATAGTACACAAGCTAGAGAACTTCCCATTTTTGGAATCAATGGTGCAAGTAATGTGTTGATCAGTTGAGCTTAATACTTGAACATTGAAAATATCAGAATCCCATAGAATCCAAATTCTTCCATTCCTAGCTTCATGCACATTAGAAGTCCATTTCCAATCTTTGGTAATTTGCATAGCTATCCTTTTCAGCTTATTTTCATGAAGTTTAGTTTCCAGAAGGCCTATTAATGATATATCATATTCTTGTATGAACTGCTTTACTATCTTGTGCTTGGAGGATTTATTAAATCCTCTTATGTTCCAAATAGCAAGATGCATTTAGATAGAATTACCACCCCTATCAACACATGAGGGGTTATCTAAAGGAGAGAAATGAGACAATTGAATACCTGAGAATTCAGCAATGCCTATGGAAGATCTCCTTGCTAGATTAGTTCTGTTGACGCTAGAAAATCCAGAAGCATTGACAATTGGAGCTGAGTAGAGATATGAATCATTTGCTGGAAATGTTAAGCTCCCTTTCCCTGCAATTCTACTTTCAGCCTGTGCATGTTTTTCAGTCTGTGCATGTTTTCCAGCAGACAGAGTCTCTTTGTTTTTTCCAGCAATTTGCTCAGTGCTGATATTTGCTTCAGGTATTTGCTGAACAACAGAATCTCTCTCTAGCCCAGGAATAACAGTAGGTTCTTTGCTAAGTACAGGAGCTTCAGCCTGTCTAATAACAAGAATCCACATCCTTTTAGTCTTAATTCTTCTACACTGTTCTGTAACATGACCAATCTTACTACACAAAGAACACCACTTTGGTTTATATTCATATATGACTGATTGTGTGTAGCTTATTCCATCAGGCCCTTGAATGTTTAACTGATCAGGCAATGGATCTTTCAATGGCAACTTGACCTCTAATAAAACTCTTGCATAGCTCAATCTCTCTCTATTTGCCGTGAGCTTGTCGGTTGCAATAGGCTTACCAATTAAACTGGCAACTTTACTGATTCCTATTGAGCTCCATAAGTTTAACCTTAAATTTGGAAATTGCGCCCACATAGGATAGTAAAAGTCTTGCATCTTATCAATATCAGCATCAATACTCCATGGTTTCAGCATTAGGGGTCTGGACCCAAAAAACCAGGGGCCAGCTTCAAGAATTTCTCTCATAGAAGCTTCTGATTGAAAGTCAAATAGGAATAATCCTTGTTTGATTAGTGAGACCTTTGGTATAGAGATATTACCCCATAGTTTGTTGACATAGGACTCCATTGATTTAAATTTGACATTTAATCCTATGACATGTCCAATTAAAGCATTTTTTCATAAACTTTCTCCTTCCTTCCATTCTTCAGCAGAAAAAGAGACTGTATTGGAATTGGCAGATGACAAGAAATTCAAAGATAATCCATTCCCTGCTTTCCTATTATCAGCAAAAAGGCTAGCAAAAGTTTTGTTTGTCTTTTCACTATTAACCACATCATTCTGGACCTTAACAGCCCCATCCTGGACATCATTCTACTTTGTCTCCAAATTAGAAACCACAGGATTTTTATCAATATTTTCTACTCTGATCTTCTTAATAGAATTAGACAAATCATTCAATCTATCCTCAGACAGCTTATTCACATCATTTATCAATGAAACAGTGTCGAGATCAAGCATTGATTCAGAGTTCATTCTATCAGAGGCAAGAACTCTAGAAGGAATATCAGAAGGCTTATGAATCAAATTAGAATTAGAAGAAATCACCTCCAATTCGACCTCATCTGCCCAAGAAACCCTAGATGAACTGCTGGCGCCATCACAAGAAATAACAGGTTTACTTATGAGACGACGAGCTTGAATTCCATTCAACTGAGAAGAGCTCGTATCATGCTTAGAATCAACCAAGAAATCAGAAGATCGGAGTATTTCCTCCATTGATTTCTTCTTCTTTTCCTCTTTTGGACCTGTCGAGCCCATAACTATATTGTTGACTCCATCATCATCCTCAGCAAAACTGGTATCAATTTGATCCCCCAATCTATCAAACTTGAATCCGCTGCTCTCAATCCTATGTTGAAGAGATTTCTCCCACTCACTTTCTTCTTCTTCGCCATGAAAAACCAGGCGGGTGCGCAAGTTAGCAGGAAACAGATCTCCCGCTAACTTGCACCATCAGAAGCCCGCCAATTTTTTTTCTCATTCCAAATCTCCCACTTGCTTACGAGTATCACCAATTTGATACTCATTTAAGGAAACAATTTCTAGTGAAACAATTTCTTACTTAAAATATACCTTGTTGCCACAATTCTTATATTTTTTTGCCACAATCCCTGAACAAAACAGCAAAATAATCATCATAAGTTCCTAAGTTTTCACTGCAGGCCGAGGTCTTGCATAGGAAAAACATGAACATGGTTACGACCAAGATGGATTCAAATTCTCTCTACTACTAAAAAAAGTAGTGGTGGGACAATTACTCTATCATAATTATTGATTATCTATTTGACGATGAAGATTTTTTTTTCTTTGAGTACGAATTAGGAATGAGTGCAATTCATAGAGGTATAGTGAGTCTTACATTTAGAAAGAATCTCAACCACCATTAGATGATCAATAGTTGTTATTAAAAGTAATAATCTCTTTGCTGCTTTCTTAAAGCGGAGAGAATCCAAATTAATTTCTTTGCAATATCTTTAATCCTAGTCATAGCATTAACCCTACTCTCCTACCCAATAACGAATAAGAACTGCACATCAATATAGAACCAATGGCGCGTTAACTATGCTTAACCTTCTATCAGAATGTAGGGTCACATGTATTATTATAATAAGAATCTTGCAGACTCTAGAGGTTCACTCATGTAATTACACCATATGTTGACATGACAGAATGTAATCCATCCAAACGAATTAACAATACTTAGATATGCATAAAGATGGATGGAATGAATATCAAAAACTTTGGAAGATTAGGACGATTACTAAGAGTGCACTAGCTTGTGATGGAAGTATCCGTATTGCTAAGGCTAAATACCATAAACCCTCCTTTAACTTTGGACAACCATCAAGAAACCCCTCTTATATATATTTCAAAATATAAGAAAACCTCCTTAAGTTTAAGGGTTATTGGAAAAAAACTCCTTTAACTTTGAGGATTTTTTCAAAAAAAAGCCCCTAATTTAGAAGGGTTTCTAATAAAACACCAAAGTTAAAGGGGGTACGTTGTCCGATAAAATTTAAATGTTAAAATTGGGTTTTGTGACAATCCCTATACTTAAGGGGGGTTTTGCTCATAGTTTTCCGTTAATCCTCCAAAGTGAAGGGGGGTTTTTCTGATACTTACCCTATAGGTAACTAAGGAATATATATAAGAAGGAAAACGCACAGCTCAACTTGTACCCACCTTTTCTAAGTTAACTTTAAGCACTTCAAATCCACTGAACTTTTCTATTCTCATTCTCAGAGACAAATGACCAAGCAAAGCAATGGAACTCAACGTCTACCAATTCAAGTCTACTCGCATTATGGGATGCATCGACTCACAATGCCGATATAGTCGTGGCTCAGGATGGGTCGGGAAATTACAGGACCATCAACGAGGCGGTCCAAGCACTGCATCGCGAGCACAATGGAGACAGAAGAGCTATTGTCTATGTGAAATCAGGGGTTTACGAAGAGTACGTTGAGATAGCTAGAAACTTGAGGAATGTGATGTTTGTTGGTGATGGCATTGATGAGACTATAGTAACGGGCAATCACAATGTTCCTGATGGTTACACGACCTATAGATCGGCCACCTTCGGTATGATTCTGAGCTACGCATTGCATAAAACCCCGCAGTAAATTTGGCCCATTAGAGATAAATCCCAAAAAGTTTGAAACTGCAGATTACCCCCCCCCCCCNGGTTCTAATCTATTTCCCAGCTCATCTAAAACATCTACGGGGATTAAGTCATACTTCAGAAATTTTCTGGAGGTATCTCAAAACGGGTCAAGCGTTGCAAACTTCGTCGTGTCCCTGTTGGCCGGGATAGGAGACTGTAATTCTAGAAAGCGAAAATTTTCAGAATTTATTGGTGGATGAAATCACATATATACGTGATTCTCATCGTTTAGGAATTAAGTTTGGAAATTTGAGCAAGTAAAATTATTATGGACGCGCCAGTCAACCCGTCCCTTTAATTCACAAGGGTTAGTAAGTTATAGTTTCGAAAATATCATTTTATTTAAAAAAATTCCAATTATTAGAGACTGAGTATAATAAGATTTAAGCTTGGTATTTAATCACATAACCATTTAGGTGCCTATTGACAAAGGGTTAAGTAAGAAGTTAAAGAGACTTAACCAATTTTTAACCCGCCAAACACAAAAAATCTATATAAAAGTTAAAGTGAGTTAACCTTCTATAATCTGCCAAACATAAAATATATAAAAAGGTTAAGTTAACCTCTCTAAAGGGATTAAAATGAGTTAACCCCTCAAAATGAAGGGTTTACTTAATACTCCTATATAGAAGGACTAGTAAAGTGCACGTGCATTGCACATGGGCTTACTTGTTTAATGTCAAAAATTTTGGATATGGATCATAAAATGATGAAGCAAATCAATGGAGAACTCTCAATTCATGTGCTTAAACTGGTTTAGATTTTACCAATATTCATGCAACCTAAATAAAGAACGTAATAAGATATTTGTGTGCTAGGACTTTTAGGTAATTAGATTGGCCAATAGCTGGAAGGACCTGAATGTATAGAGTAAAAATGAGACAAAACAAAGAACCAATTTATATCATATTTCAAATTTAATTGTCTTGTCAAAGTCTATGTTATATCATCATTTAAAGATGAAACAAAACACAAAAACATAGAGGATCAAATTTACTAAATAGCTGATATCCAACATGGATTAATAGGGTAAAAAAAATTATACTTCTATGCATAACAAACTTATTCTGTAAAAACACAATAGCAACATTAAAAGATGCTTTAATATTATAGACGGGAGACTCATCTTTGCTCAACTTATACTAAGGTTCAAATTATCAAAGGAAATACTAATTAATAAGAGCTTTCCCAGATAAAGTTATTAAACTTAAAGCTGAAATTGACATGATTGGATGATGGAGGTATATCTTGCGAGCAGGGACTTGCCACTTGTTGAAGTTCCGTGACAATTATAAGAGAGACTGATTATGTTGTTCATATGCTTTTCATCAATCTCTAATTCACAACTTGACATCGAATTATTGTGATAGCATTTCCATGAAAATCTACTCCATCTTTAATGTTATCTCAAGCACTTCGATCATGTCTCTAAAATTAGAAGTCGGATGGTTGGAAGGAGAGGAATAGAGAGAAATAAGTAAAACATAAATGTCACATATAAAAATGAGTTTTTTATTAGAAGGTAAAAAACCAAAGCTTAAGAAGTTTCACTTTAGTAATCAAGGTTTTATAATAAAAATATAAGAACTTATTTTGGATGCATGTAAATATGATGTTTGTTTTAGTATTTATTTTTGTCTAAAATCATGGTAAGGAAATTTATTTTGTATTTCTACTATAACATGAAAAGGATAATACAATTAGCTTAATATATTACTAATCATGCTCTACTTCACGATATTAGCATCATAGATCTCTTTAGTACAACATGTTTTCAAATTACACTGTGAAATGTGTTTAGGGGGTAATTTTAAAAAGTATTTAATCTAATGAGATTTTAACATACATTTGTATGTTTAGTCTTTTAATAATACATTTTGAAATTTTTGTGATATCAATGTCTCCAAAAAGAAAACTAATCGTCAATTTGACTATAGCAATTTAGATCGTACGGAATTGACTCATTTCTATAATAACTATGTTTTGAAACTCATTTTCAAAATAATAATTGAATTTTAGAGGAACATATCATTCTAACATGTGCTTGAGCAAATTTGATCCTCAAATGAAGTCAACATCTTACGCTCGGCTAAATTTTCCATTCTAATCTAAGTAAAATTTTGGTTGAGCTTTTATTTTATAATTGTATGAATTTGGCTTAGTAGGCATTATGGTGAGCGACATCTTACGTTCTGTTAAATTTCTCATTCTAATCTAAGTGAAATTTTGGTTGAGCTTTTCTTTTATAATTGTATGAATTTGGCTTAGTAGGTGTTATGGTGAGCCGAAGAAACCGTATGAGCTAATTTATACACTATATATGAAAGAGAAGTTATATACAGAGAAAATGAAAAAGATTGTTTGTTAGTTAATTGGGTTCATAATTTATGCATTGATTCAAATTGAAATTTAAAAGTCTAGAATCTACATCTTATTATTATAATTATTTGATTATCTTATACTATTGTGTGACCGATTGCGAAGAAATTTATAGTCTTGAGCTAAAACTTTTGGACTCATTAGCAATTGGTGCTCATAAGACCCAAAGCAATGAAGAATGTTGTATGTCATTCTCTAATTCTACCTTAGTTGGTGTATAAAAAAACTTTGGTTCTCCCATGGCTTTAATGCCCCTCCAATGTAGTTGTTTTAACTTCTTAAAGAGTAGAGTAGGTTGCAAAACACCTCCCCTACATGCAGTTAAGGTAGCCCGAAAAGGGAACATTGACACTCTAAAATTCTAAATGTAGATATAAGCATTTGCATGCAATGTTAGATTATAAACTATCGATAGTAATTATATTCTTGACCAAATATTTTAGGGAAGGGGTAGGAGGTGCATTTAATAACTACAAAACTCCGGTTCTCCCATGGATTAAATTCTGATATCCCTCCAATGCAGTTGTTTTAACTTCTTAGAGAGCCAAGCAGGTTGCAAAGCCCCCCCTCCCCCCGACAAGCAATTAAGGCAGCCCGAAAAGTGAACATTGACACTCTAAAATTCTAAATGTAGATATAAGCATTTGCATGTAGTGTTAGATTGTAAACTATCAATAATAAGTATATTCTTGACCAAATATTTTTGGGGAGGAGTAGGAGATGCATTTAATAACTACAAAACTTTGGTTCTCCCATGGATTAAAATTTTAATATCCCTCCAATGTATTCGTTTTAACTTCTTAGATATTAGAGCAGGTTGCAAAACTCCCTTGACATGCAAGTAAGGTAGCTCGAAAAGTGAACATTGACGCTCTAAAATTCTAAATATAGATATAAGCATTGACATGCAAGTAAGGTAGCTCGAAAAGTGAACATTGACGCTCTAAAATTCTAAATATAGATATAAGCATTTGCATGTAGTGTTAGATTATAAACAAGTGAACATTGACGCTCTAAAATTCTAAATATAGATATAAGCATTTGCATGTAGTGTTAGATTATAAATTATCGATAATAATTATGTACTTGATCAAATATTTTGGGGAAGAGTAGGAGGTGCATTTAATAAAGAAGTATGGATAGTTATTATTTAAAGATTAATTATAGCTAATGATATAATTGTAAATTATCAAAATTTGAAAGGGCAAATTAGGAAATAAGTTTTGACATGAGTATTCTCTTTAATAAGTAGTATAGATTAAGAGCTAACCCTTCTTTTTTTTTTTGAAAAGACAGGTAGGGTAATCTAACCAGCCAAGTCCTCAACAACACTCTGTCTCAAAAACAAAGGGACAGAAACAGACCAAAAATAAGAGGACAAAAAAAAACCGACTTAGGTAGGGAATGAGCAACACCATTACCAGTGCGCCTTACATATTAAACTTTAGAGCAGCCAGTAATAGTCAGACCAGCCCGAACGTCATCTGCAATAGGAGCCAAGGAAGCAAAAGGAGAAGGAGAATCCACCATGGAGACAACCTTTAGAGAGTCAATTTCCACCACTGAAATCCTCCAGTTCATACGCCGAACAAAACAAATGCCTCTCAGGACAGCCAACAGCTCCGCATGATCCACAGACATATGACCCCTGATCCCCATAGAGTAGCAACCAATCAGATGTCCATGGTGATCCCGAATAACACCTCCTAAACCAATAATATCTCCTTCCAGAGGAACAACAACATTTGTGTTGAGTTTCAGCAAACCAGGAGCATGGAGATACCAAGCAGAAGGTCATTTGGAAGGGGTGACAATGTCACGGGAGAGACCTCTAACTCTATTCCCTTCCTCCATAAAACAAAGAATCCGAGCCACCAAGACCGAGGCTTCTTTAACACCACCACCATGAAAGCGCATATTCCTTTCCCTCCATATAAACAACATGGTTGTGAAAGCCAAAGCCAGAGAGTCCCCAGGGCAAACAGATGTGAGATGGAAAAGGAAATCATCAAATAGTCAAAGTCATTGTTATTCCCAAACACTAAAAATGATTATAAGGGTTAAAATAAAACTTATATAACAGATTAATAATTTAGTCATTCGGATTATCGAATTATCTAACTATGTTAATCATACTCCTTAATCCATCTTCATTAACCATTTGCCAAACGGGGCCTTAGATACACAAGAAATGAATGTTGCAAGTTTTTTTTTTCTGGCTGTTTACACACATTTGCTCGAGTTTGAAGGTAGTTTAAGGTTATTAAAAATAGAGAATCAGATGAGGAATTTTGTAGATTCAAGACCAAGACCACTGTCCTGTTAGAAAATTATAATCGATCGCACTTTTTTTTTTATCATGACATTTGCTGACAGGTGTATCAGGAGATGGATTTTGGGCCAGAGACATAACCTTCGAAAACACAGCCGGCCCATCAAAAGAGCAAGCCGTAGCCCTCCGCGTTAACTCTGACCGCTCCGTCATCTACCGCGACTGCGACATCTACGGCACCGTCGACTTCATCTTCGGCAACGCTGCCGCCGTCATCCAAAACTCCGAGATCTTCATACGGAAGCCCATGCCCCGCCAAAGGCCCATGGTCACGGCCCAAGGCCGAGACGACCCGAATCAGAGCACGGGCATTTCAGTCCACAGTTGTCGGGTCCGGCCCACTGCGGAAATGGAAGCGGTTAAGGGTAACTTTAACAGCTACCTGGGCCGGCCTTGGCAGAGGTATTCGAGGACCGTGTTCTTGAAAACGGACCTGGATGGGCTTATCCACCCTGAAGGATGGGCCGAATGGAACGGGGATTTTGCGTTGGATACGCTGTATTATGGCGAGTATATGAACACGGGTGCGGGTGCGGATACGGGTAGGAGAGTGAACTGGAGGGGGTTTCACGTGCTGGGGGGTTTGGATGAAGCTGGTGAGTTTAGCGTGGAGAGGTTTATTCAGGGTCACGAGTGGATTCCTGAGAGCGGAGCTCCCTTTTGGGGTGGGGTCTAGATCCGAAGTCAACAAATTAAGAAAATGTACGTAAGAAATGGTAGTACGTGTATATTGCAATAATGATAAGAAAATGAATAAACTATCTGCTTCAATTAAGATTTGAAAATTGAAGTCTACAGATCCGAGAGGCATGGCGCATTGTCTGCCGTAGATTAATGAGAAAATGGAGGAGTGTGATCCTAGGTTCAAAGAGAATGGGTTTTTTAAAGACCTGGACTTTGATTAGGCACCGTTAGCCTTAATTGCCTATGGATTTCTTTAGATTTCTTTATTTAGGAGTCATGATCCAAAAGCATATGACAGTGTTTAAAGCTTTTATTTGGACTTTTGTCCCTCGAGTACTGCACAGAAACGTACGAACTTTTTTTAATAGGAACTTAATTTTCTACGAATTTACAAGTAGTATTATGTCCAGCGGGTCATCGAGAGGCTGCGCGCTACTTTAAAATCTAATTATAATGTTATGCCTTGTTCGACGCTTTCTATTAGCTAGTTTGAGGTAACGCTGTTTGCATTTGTTCATATCATGTTGCATGCATGCAGCAAGAATCTTAACCAATAATATTGTAGAATTAACAAGATATATAATTACATATCGAAACCAAACTACTACAGAAAATCTGAGAAGAGCAAAATATAAATAATCCTGATTCGTTAAAAAGAATAAAATGTCGCGCGCCTTTGCGGAAGCCTTGCACGAACTCACAACGAACCTGTGATCACGAGTAAAGAAACAAACACTGCACAAACACAGCCAATTACGACAAATTCAAACCAAACACAGGATATACCTGGTTCGGCAATTGCCTACGCCACGGGGAGAGGATGGGAGATTCACTATATGGAGGAGAATACAACGGGTTACAACTCACAAAATCACTCAAATATAACCTAAACCAAAGCTCTCAACTCCCTCACAATATCCTCCTCTCAAAGTGCTCAAAACAATGCTAAATCTCTTCTTTTCTCTCCTTAAGAAAACCCTAAAAAACGTGTCCTATTTAATAAAACACAATCCCAAACAAAGGAGGATTCCTCAACAAAATAAGGATTCTAAAAACGAGTCTGCCACACCCTGCACCATGGGTGTGGCAGAGGGTGTGGTGCAGGAGTGGTGCAGGACAGATTCTGCCAACCCTGCCACCGTGGGTGTGGCAGAGGGTGTGGTGCAGGACAGACTCTAACCACACCCATGCAGCACACACCAGGGTGTGGTGGAGCCTGTTGTGAGTTATTCTTCACGTTTTTCACAATTCTTCGCCGTTTCACAATTCTCACACCTCGGCGAAGTGTTCCCAACACTGAGCCGACACCAACATGAGCACCAATGTGTCGTCTCTCTAAACTCGGGCTGGCACCAAATGCGGTTCCTACGTACCCCCTCTCCCAAGGATCAAGCCGCCCGTAGTTACAAATGCCGCCAACGCCTCAACAATTACGAATGTCAACAATCGACAATGATCCAAACTTGTTGCTCGGAACCACCCTTAGTGGCATATCTGGCCGGATTATCCTCGTGTGACTTCCACAATTTCCACATCGCCATCTTCAAGAACCATCCGAACGAAGTGATAACGAACGTCAATGTGCTTCGTCCTGCATGAAAACCTGATTCTTCACCAAATATATAGCACTCATGCTATCGCAATGAATATGACGGATCGCTGCGATATACCAAGTCTTCCAAAAGTCCTCGAACCAAATAGCCTCCTTCACAGCCCTCCGTAACCGCCCATATACTCTGGCCTCCGTCGTAGACAAAAGCCACCGTAACAGACTGTAAGTGCATCTCCAACACACCCGGCGCACGGGTCAAAGTGAACACATACCCGTAGTAGACCGGCGCTTATCAAATCCCCGGCATAATACCGAATCAACATAGCCAATGCATAGCTGCCCACCTGTAGTGTCCCGCTCATAAACCAAAACCAACATTGAGCGTACCTCTAATGTACCTCAAAATCCATCTCACGGCGTCCCCAATGACCCACTCCTGGATCGTCATGTATCTCGACACCATGCTCACCGCCGTGACAAATCCGGCCTCGTACATACCATCGCGTACATCAAGCCCCACTGCGCTCGCATATGGAGTCTTCGTCATCAACTCACGGTCTTCAACTGACTTCGTGAAAGGCCAGCTGAAAGCTTCAAAGGGCTCCCCAACGGTACACAAACTGGCTTCGTATCCATGCTAACATGAATCGCTGTAGAACCTTCTTCAAATAAGCCACCTGTGTGCAAACAAATCCTGCCTTCTTCTTATCTCTGCGATCTCCATCCCTAAAATGCGCTTCGCCTCGCCAAGTCCTTCATCTCAAACTCATTCGAAAGCTGAACTTTCAACTCATCTATAGCTGACCTGGAACTAGAAGCAACCAACATGTCATCGACATAAAGCAACAAAATAATGTACGCACCTCCTCTCAACTTGCGAAAATACACGCAAGGATCAAACTGCTCCGAGTGTAGCGAATGACCAAGCATAAAACCATCAAATCGCCTATACACTCTGTCGAGGAGGACTGCTTCAAACCGTATAGCGATTTCTTTAGCCTGCAAACAACTTATCTTTCCCCTGCAGCTGCGAATCCCAATGGCTGAGTCATATATATTTCTTCATCAAGATCACCATGAAGAAATGCTGTCTTCACATCCAACTGATCTAACTCCAATCCATACTGTGCCACCAAAGCTAGCAAAATCCGAATCGACGAATGCTTCACACCGGAGAGAAAACCTCATTGTAATCAATACCTTCCTCCTGTGCATAGCCCTTCGAACCAAACCTAGCCTTGAACCTCACTGGAGTGCCCTCAATGCCCTCCTTCTTCGTGTACACCCCACTTGCACCCAATCGCCTTCCGCCCCTTTTGAAGCTCTACAAGCTCCCATGTATCGTTCTTGTGAAGAGACTCCATCTCCTCCTGCCATAGCCACCTGCCACGAATCACCCCGAACTCTGCTCGGCCTCTCTGAATGTAGTAGGCACCATCTCATCGATACTCTCCCACCGGAAGTGCATATGCAACTGTGTCGCGCATACCGTGCTGGCACCCGTATTGTCTCTCCTCTGTCTCCGTGCCCGCAATAGAATCCTGAACCTGAGCCGTCGTCCCTGATTCTGCTCATGAGTACCCGTATCCTCCGCATCACCGTGTGCTCGCCTGGCGTCACCTCAGTCGCACCTGCATGGATACTGTACCAGTCTGGACAATGTGGAGCTGCATCGATCTCCACCACCTGCGATATCTCCTCTGTCGGGTTGCTCTCCACTGATGAGAGCTTGGGAAGCTCAAGATAGAAGCCTCATCGAAATGTGACGTCCCTACTCAGCACAATCTTCTTATCAATGGATCCCAGAAGCTTGTATCCCTTGACACCACGTTGAATCCTACAAATATGGCCTTCCTAGCTCGAGGTTTCCAACTTATCAGTTTCTAACATGATAATATGCAGGGCAACCAAATACCTTAAGCTGGTCATAGTCATGTGCTGTCTCTCCCCGACCACATCTCATAGGGTCTTCCCTCAATCGCAAATGAAGGCAGCCTGTTAATGAGGTGGCTCGCATAAGAAAGTGCCTCAGCCCAAAAGATCTTCTCCAAACCACTATGCGCCAATAAACATCGAATCTTCTCCAGCAAAGACGGATTCAATCTCTCCGCCACCACCATTCTGCTGCGGTGTATGACTAACTGTGAAAGTGCCTCTCTATGCCCTCGTCTCGACATAGCTCAGAAAGGGGTCTGAGGTATACTCGCCGCGCCGTTGTCGGATCGCAACGCTTGATCTTTCTCCAGTCTGCAATTCAATTTCTTCTTCCACTCCACAAACAAATCTAGGACTTCAACTCTTATGCTTCATGGTGTACACCCAACATCGCCTAGAATAGTCATCACGAACGTGACGAACCAATGTCGACCACCAAGTGATGCCGTCTTAGTGGGACCCCAAACATCTGTGTGCACGTAGTCCAAGATGCCCCTCGTCCTATGAATGGCCGTCCCGAACTTCACCTTTGTCTTCTTGCCAAGTATCCAGTGCTCACAGTAATTCCGATCTTTACCACTCTTGGCTCCCTTCAAAACCCCTGCTTGCACAACGCCTGCAGTGACTTTTCACCTGTATGCCCTAGCCTGTAATGCCAAAGTCTGCTCATGTCCGCCCTCGAAATACCGAAGCAACACTGGCCAATTCTCCGGCTGCCGCACTTCAATGAGTATATAAGGGTTAATGGTGTCGCTGATCGGAATGTCCGCCTCTATTTAGATGATCATTTAACATCTCAGTGGGGCCTATGAGAGCGAATAAAGGGAATTCACAGCGGTGACTTTGAGAAGCAGATAGATCCGTAGTCAATAGAGGCTCTTAGCTACAGAGGGACCTACCTTCTCTAAGAGTGTGACTAGACACGAATCCCTCGCGACGACCACTATTATAAGCTCATCCACTGAGAATAAAGGAGAGTACCTGACCTATGTAGCCTATGAGGAATCTGTGACATCGTGCCACTCTCTCAGTAGCGTCACTGAGAAGTACTATTCGGCATTCACGAGGCTACCAATGTCTCACAGTACCTATACCCACAAAAAACCCACAGAGGTGAGTCATTTCGCGCGATGACAGACAACACCGCGCCATCGAGCCTCTCAAGATGATGTAGAACCAATCTCGCGCTAAGGAGTCACATGAAAGTAGCGCCAGATATCAAAGCATCCACTCCGAGCATCAAATGGTTACCTCCGAGTAATCAAAAGAGAAAGGCTCGAATCATCGGAATCATGCGCGCTTTCGCAACATTCCCTCATTGGCTTCGCCGCTTATCTTCTATTGTTCCCTTTCTTTGACTTTCAGGGCAATCTCTTCTCAATGTCCTGTCCTTGCAGATGCACATCTGGTTCTTTCTAAGCTGTGTGAGCGACCAGTCATTGACTTTGATCGCCTCTATTTCCACCTTTTGGATATGAGCTCTACCTCTCGCGACAAGGGCCGTGCTCCTGCAGTCTAGCGCGGCGAAGTCTCCTCTTAATCCTTCCTCCCTCAACCATCATAGGTTCGTCAATGCGTTAGTCAGCTTCACTGGAGAAGTGATAGAGATCTTCCGTTCAGCAACGTAGGCACGAAGGTATCATACTCTCATCCGGCTAAGGAGCCAAAAGAATAATAGCTTTGTACTCATCTTGTGACTTCCATTCCCACGTTCGCTGGCACGCAAGTGACAAGCAATTTAAGGTGTAGCTTGTTCCACATGAGGCCGCAAGCGAGTACTCTGGACACTCTGGAATCTGAATAAACGGCTTCGCAGCAAGTGCAACCGGTTCCTCAACTCTTTCAAGGTATTATTGTTGAGAATATTCCAGCATCTTCACTCGCCAGACGTCACCCCCAATCACATCGTATTTCAGCTCCTGTTCAACAGGACCTGATCACCCCGCAAAGCATTTCGATTCAATCTTTTCCCATAATCGCCTCTTCATATTTAAGGTGGCCTCACATCGACGCGATTGAGGTGCCCTCCAGATTTTGGGCATTGAGCGCGATCTGTAGTCGCTCATCACAAACCAAATGATTTGTATTTGCGCGTCATATTTCACGAAACATAATTTAGTGTTCTGAAAACCCACTTGGAACTTGCCTGTCATCTTGCTGCTTTTCACCAAATTTTCACCATAATCACAACTTGCCAGATTGTAGAGAAAGATCCAAACATTTAAGAAGAATAAGAAATTACCACAACTGAAAACCCTAGATTGGATTCCAAATAGAACCCTTAACTACACGAGGAAAGGCGAGATACTCCAACGGCAACTTCAAACCTACTCCACAAAACCATGAACTCCAAGACCAAGCATTCAAACTGAATCTTCCTCACCTAATCCCCACAACCCAGATCGATCGGGACTCTGTCCACTTGTCGCGCCCGCTTGCGGAAGCCCGTTGCTACGAACTACACGCAACCTTGATCACGAGTAGAAGACAGCCACAACACTGCAGCAAACCAAGCAATTAACGAGCAACAAACCAAAACAAGGATAACGGGTTCGGCAATTGCCTACTCCACGGGAAGAGGATGGGGAGATTTCACTATATGGAGGAGAATACAACGGGTTACAACTCACAAATCACTCAAATATAACGCCTAAACCAAGCTCCGAGACGCGCGCTCACAATATCTCCCTCTCAAAGTGCTCAAGACAAGCTAAATTCTTCTTCTTTTATCTCCTTAAGAAACCGTACCTAAAACCAGACCGTGGTCCTATTTATAATAAAACAGCATCCCAAACAAAGGAGGTTCCTCAACATAATAAGGATTCTAAAAACGAGTCTGGCCACACCCTCAGGCCATGGGTGTTGGGCAGAGGGTGTGGTGGGCAGGGAAGCAAGTTCTGCCACATTGCCTCTGAGCACCCGTGGCGTGGTTAGGCAGAGGTGTGTGGTTGGCATGATCGTATGACTCGACTTACACCCATTGTCAGCACGCAGCGTGGTGACAGGGGCAGGGGCGGGTTGGTTGGCTGCCTGTCTTTGTGAAGGTGGGAGGGTTCTTCAGCGTTTTTCACAATTCCTTCGCCGTTTTCACATAAAATACAGATATTGATCACTTATTCTGCGCCTTAATAGTATATATGGATTAATGAGTAGCATTTTTCAAATAATAATAGATGTCATCGATCGCCAAACAAATATATTCTAAATCTAACACGACTCTATAAGCATATATCAACATTCACCGTTTATAGATAGATAGAAAAATATTGTTGATACGCCTGGATACAACATTCAAGTGTTTTTAGAGATAAATTCAACGACAGTTGAATTCAACTCAACCTACTAATAAATACAAACGCATGAATACAAATCTTATCAGAACATCATCTACATCATCTCTGAGCCTAAAGCACATAAAGTCGACAGTCGAACCTCGTATGTACTGGCAAAATCCATACTCCGGCCCGTCAATATTCTAACACTCTCCCTCATCGTCGTCCGGGTCCATCCACACCTGATCCTCGCCACCCCCACCATCCGTATTCACATCTAAAAAATACAACACGAATACCATAACAACACAACAAACAAACATCGGTATCGGACCAAACACCCACAAAAACAACGGAAACGAAAAATAATACGCCCTCAGCCCGATTGACCAAAAATACCCTCCCCTGTTAAGCGCCCTGGCCACGTAGTTCACCGCCACCGCCCTGTTTTTTGCAATGGGGACATTAATGAGGATGTTGGCATGGCTGTAGTATCGAATGGATTGAACGTTCATGAGGAAAGCCAGGAGGAAGCAGACGAGGATGGAGAAGAACTTGATGGAGTTGTTGAGATCGGATTTGTTGCCGATGAAAAGGGTTTGGCTGTCGTGGATGAGGGAGCCGTTGGTCATTAGGACGGCGATGAGGGAGCTGAGGGTTATGGCCGTCGACGCCATGAGGGTTGACACCATTATGTTGTTTCGGAATGTTTGGACCGCTAGCACTGCATTCTTGAAATCCTGCATATATACACATCGATCTAAGCCATCAGCTATGATCTCAATATGTTAACGGATGTATGTCTAGTCATCAACACAGTAGCCAACTCCATATATAGTCAAAGAAACATGTTCTATTGCAGAAAACAGATATTGGAAATAGCCGTGTAATTTATGGAAGTAAGGGCTAGTTTATTTTGCTTCTGCGAGCACACTGCAAAGTTTAAATGACAGAGGCTTAATTTCTTTTTTGGGTTAATTGTGAACACACCCCTGTAGTATCACTGAGTTGCACTTAATATATACCCTTATAGTATTGTTTGTTGCGGTCACACCCCCTAGGAACCAAACTCGCTCTAACCAAAATACCCTCTGGATGGGTTGGACAGCTTTTTAACTCATCTTCTCTCATTTTTTGCTCTTTGTTCTCTTAGGAAGGCACCATTGAAGCCTGTTTGAGCTCCATTTGAATGGGGCAGAGGAGTGAGATCAGAGAATTAGGTCTCAATTCAATGTCCCTCTCATACTTTTTCTCTTTTTTTCAGTTATACCCTACTCTACTCATCAATTGATGGAAACAAAAGGAAGATATCTAGTTTATCATTACAAAAACCTCTACCATGTTTCTAACTGATTTCTAGAGAAGATATAAACAAATGGAGAATCAAGCTTCTAAATGTGATTCAACATAAATGCTAATTGAATTTGTGTAGGTGGTTTTTTTTTGTGGTTTTTTTAATTTTATTTGTAGCAAAAACCATAGAATCTTTAGTCTTACCGTCAACTTCATGAACAATTTTGCAGTTTTGTTGTCGAAGTTTGCATCCTTGAGATGGGTGAGAATTTTTTGATTTTTGGGAAAAGAGAGGACTTTCACTTAGGACTAATTTTGTAATTTGGGGTGGAGTTTGGTTCCCCAGGGGTGTAAATGCAACAAAAAATACTATAGGGTTAGTAAGTGCAACTCAGTAATACTACAGGGGTGTGTTCACAATTAACCCTTCTTTTTTATTCCTTTTTTTTGGCAAAAATTTGCATGCCAATGCGATCAAATTAAATCTATTATTTGGAGAGAATATGTGAAAGAATCTTGAAAAATGCCCGAAATGTAAAAAGGCGCAGAAGTTTTGCAGAATTTGAATGGCAGTTGATAAAATTCCTTTTTTCTTCAAACTTTTGTTTTTGCTCGTTACAGGAGAATATAAATCAAAGCACATGCCTTGCAATAGAATAAAGAAAGTTTTCTACTCATTAGAAGAGAATTTATATGTAGTGGAATACTTTCGAGGAAGTTGACGTGTTTGCTCCGCAAAGGGAGCATATAATTTACTAAAGTCATATAGCTTTTCAACGCAAATGTGACAGAAATTTTCTTTATTAATTTGGGAGTAAAAGTTGGGCCACCAACTCCATACTTCAAAGGGAGAACAATAAGTGGAGAATTCGAGATGGTACCAATGAACTTTCAAATATATATATAGAGAGAGAGAAATGGAGAAACTTTGTACCAAGTTGCTTGGAGCAACTTGATAGTGATGTAGCCTAATCTTGTCCCTATATCTATATTGGAGTTGGTGAAGGGTGGTTGAGACTCTATCTTCGAGGTGTGATGTAGGAGCAAGATTAGGCCACATCACTACCAAGTTGAGAGAGAGAGAGAGAGAAACTTATGTCAACTTAAGTGGATCATCCACCAAAGTTTCTATCCATTGATGATACCTAGAGATCCGTGCATCATATGAAGAGACTTTTTATCAATGGATAAAAAATTTGATGGATGGTCTACTTAAATATATAGAGAAAAACTTATGTCAACTTAAGTGGACCATCCACCAAAGTTTCTATCAATTGATAATACCTAGAGATCTGTACATCATATGAAGAGACTTTTTATCAATGGATAGAAACTTTGGTGGATGGTCCACTTAAGTTGACACTAGAGATCTGTACATCATATGAAGAGACTTTTTATCAATGGATAGAAACTTTGGTGGATGTATATATATATATATATATATATATATATATATATATATATATATATATATATATATATTTATTTATTTATTTATATTTATGTGTGTGTGTGTGTGAAGATTTAATAATACTGAAAAAAAGTAAAAGCAGAGAGATGTAGAAAGTCACATTTGCAAGTTATTGCCCAAAGCGGTGATCCATGTCGAGAGAAACAAGTTTTGGGCGGTACATATGTAGAAAAAAAAACAAAACCAATAAAAAAAAGTTTGTTATGAATTTGAAAAGCAAACAAGTTTGATACAGCTCAAGTACAGTAGAACACCATTTATTTTAATTCGGTTTTTCTCACGAGTCTTCATGGACACTCATCCTCTAATGAGAAAGATAAAGAGCAGGGAGCCAAGGAGAAAATGTAATGCCCACCAGGGGCACTCATTAGAAAAATTGAAAAATATAACCTAAGAAATATATATAGGAGCCTTACAAGCAAACGTTTCTCATCAGAAAAAAGAACTTGGAACTCAAAACTCAAATATATTTTTTGATGGAAATAGGGCAGTTGCCCTATCAAAATATATATAAACCATAAGAAAGTTACTTACAAAAGAGATATCTTACACTGATTAAATCAACAACTCCGAGGTGGAGAAAGGACCAAATCAGTATAAGATGTCAAAACTCAAATATTATAGCAAGGTCGACACTGAAGAAAGTGAACAGACAAGCATTAACATATATAAGAGCAAAAAATTAGAGATTAACTAATTAAGTCGACACAAACCTTCATCATGGTTCGGACCCAAAGTCGGCGGTTGATGGCGTTGATGCCAATCACGGTCTTGGTCGGTTGGCTAATGACCCTAAAGAGTAGCCAAAAGTGGTAAGCTACCATCAACCCGATCCCCAAAGGAACGAGCACATAATCCAACTCTTGCTTCTCCATAACTTTTCAATCTCTTAACAAAATGATCAATATTAGAATATATATATATATAGAAGATGTTGCTCTCTAGACCCTATGCGGTTATGAACAAGAATGATGATCAAGAGAGAAGAAAGACATATATAGAGGCGTTTGAGGGCGAAAGAGGAAGACTCAAATTTGTCTTTTGATGCATGCAGCATGAGAGAGAGAGAGAGTCAAAAACATTAATTAATTGAAATATTACTATATGCACCGAATCAATGGTCGTAGGGCCCTTATTGCAGTGAGATTGCGTGATCGGGTGGGTGGGTGACACTGTGACAGTGGGGTTGGGTATAGGGTCCTGGGGGGTTTGCATTGGAATCTTGTGAAGGGAAGTCAAAAGTGTTCACCTTAAGTTAAATGGTTGGTGATTAGTGATTACTATAATGTTCGTATTAATTAGTTATAGAAGTGGGTAGTTGTGTTGAGAAAATGATAGTACATGTGGTACTCGAGATCTTTTAAGATGCTTGCGTCGGAAAAAAGTAGTCCCATGTCTCTCGTCCTTTGTGTAGAGTTTGTTACAAGCTATGGCCCTACATTTAAAACAAAAAGAGTGGCGTTACAGGCAGACCCTCAGTCACATCACTGGTCACACCCCCTCTCTTGCTACAGTATAGGACGCCCCACTTGAGAGGGGGTGTGTGGCCGATGGTGTGACTAAGTGTGTGCCTGTATCATTTCTTTAAAATTTTTTTTTGAGGAGGTCCACCGAAAGTTACAAGTGGCTTTCATTAGCCCGCGTCACTCGCGGTTGTGGCTAGCATTGCTAAAATAATGGGAAAAAAATTTTGTGTATACACCGCGGGTAATTCTTCTAGTTGCCTATTTACACTCAAATCTACGTATGTGTTAATTTATTGCTTTCTTCCGCATTGAACCTTAATTTATACTTGCAAGATTAAGCTGCAACAAGTGTATTAATTGTAAATGTTAATTTATAAATAGAAAAATTTCACGAGGGAATAGGGGTAATACCCTGTTATCTGGGTAGCAGATGAAGATGGTTTTTGTCATTTTTCTCTCTTCTAAGAAAAGAGAATGTTATTTTAACTTAATGCTAAAGAATGTTCGTTTAACAGTAGCGTTCAGTTCTTCCTCTATTGATTATAATTTTATTTTATTTTTTTTACTTTGTGCGTATATAGCGACCTCCGTTCTTATGACCTTCAACCAATACTTGTCAGTTTTTGGGAATTTGGATCTTCTCCACTACGAAAAAATAGTGGAGAGACCACTACTTTTAATCTCAATCGTTGATTACTTAATATGCGGTTATGATACAATCTAAATCTAACATTTACCATACCCGTGGATCGCACTCATTCCTAATTTGTACTAAAAGAAAAAATCACAACCACCAACTAAATAATCAATGGTTATGATTATGTAGCGATCCCTCCACTATTTTTTAGATAGTGAAGAGGAGCCGAATCCATATTTTGGAACCTTTTTTTTATATTTTGGAAACTTTTTTTTTAATATTTTGGAACCTTTGATATTTACTAAAATTGGATATCCAAAAACTATAGAACATGAGACCAAAATATTCGATCCTCTAGGTAAAAAAACGTAACATAATGATGGCATCACCAGCATATGCTACTAGAGCGCGAGTCAATCTTTTCTAATGCAATATTCCTAGCGCTTGGACGAATACTAAGCTGACTAGCTAGCGCATTTAGGGATCGAATCTATTATTACCAAACTTAAAACATTAGGCCGACGCGTAAAACATAGGGAATTGATGAGAGCGTATGCCTAGAAAGTTAAGCTCTTGATGGAGTCCCACTAATTTGATCTCTTTTTGGTTGGTGGAGACTCAACTTTAGGTTTTTCTAGTAACTCACAAACAAAACAATTCTCAGATTCCCACGACTTGCTGTAACTCTGATAGCGATAGATTTAATGAACCCGGATGCTTTTAATATCTTGATGAAAGTTGCCATAATATTAATTTGTCCAATACTATTTGGCCCCCAAAAAAAAAAGAAATAATAATAATATTTCACTTGCATCATCCTAGTCTAGAATAACGGCTATTTATCTTTTAATCAACCCTTTGGTCGCAGCATCAGAATATTAAAGCAAGTAAATCACAGTGATCCCAATTATATATGAGCGGTCTTAATTAGACTTTTATGTCTATTGGATTCAGGAATAATGACACGAGGATTGTCAAATAACTAATGTGTGGAAGGACACAAGTTGCAATTTGGATTGGGCTTAAATCCAAACCGTTCACTGCACAGTATTAATGTAGAATTTTTAGAATTTGAGTTGAAAACAAATGAGTGATTTGGTTCGGATTAACCATGGGTCAACACGAAAAAGAATACCGAACCCAAGTGGAACTTGCTTGCGTTCATGAGTTGGTAGCATGCTTAATTTATATCTCTATTTTCAAATATTATTTAATGACGTACGAGGAGAAAGTTTAGCTATTTTTGTTATTAAAATATAACTTTGTGTCATAATTTTTGAGTATTTGATTTTTTTTTTTCCATTTTCCAAGAAGAATTTGCTTGACCTTTTTCGGGAGAACTTTTTAAAATGGAGATACGGGAAAGAAAGAAATAATTGTAACAATAAGAGCACGTTTGACGACATACTTATTTTCACTTATAAGTATCTTTTTATTTATAAGATGTTATACTCATGTCCGGTAAGAGTCTACTCATTACTTATTTCTAACTTATAAGTGAACTTATTTTTTGGCGACTTATAAGTAGATTTACTTATTGATGTTTAAAGACTTTCTTCCCTTCTAATAAAATAAGTACAAATAAGTAATAAATAACTTATAAGTCATGAAATAAGTAGAAGCTAAACATGCCCTAAAGGTAAAATTTACTCTTGCTATATGCGCATCAACTTAGCGCTAGCAACAAGGTTGGGAAAGGCCAACCGGGCCTAAGCCTGTCAGTTTTGTAGTAAGCTGGGACGGATCAATCTAGGCCAACCTTGAGTTCTGTTTGAGCCAAAGCCCGGATATTCGGGGTGGGAACACAACCCAACCCAATCCAGTGACGCCCATTCGAGGTGGCCCGGGTGGTCAATCTAGCCCACTACTTTTCATTTGATTTTTCTTTTTCTTTTTCTTTACTTTCTTTTATTCTTTGACCTTTTTTAAAGAACTTGATTTAGATGAATTTTAACCAATAGCTAGCGTCTTTTTTTTTTTTTGCATATTGATGAAGGTTTTATACTCGACCTACCAATTTTTTGCTTGAAAAACACACATATGTATTTTTGTTATTATGTTTTAGATTACTAAATAGTTACTAGTGGTTAGTTAGTTACTAATAACTAATTTACTTTACAATATCATTATGGAGATTGGGTGTGAGTAAGGTTCAGGCTCAATCCGGCCCTGTGTTTGATTTGAGCTGAGAAGAGTTTGCGTGTCGAGTTCAATTAGGCCTGAGTTTCAGAAATAGACCCATACCTTGCCCACTTTGAGATCAAGCCGAGCCAAACCGCTTCGAATTTTACTGGGTTAGGTCAAATCCGACCCAGAACTGGCTAGTTTAGTACAAGTTGTGGGTCAACCCAGCCCAATCGCCACCCTTACCTCAAATGACTGTAAAAGAACATCTCAAATCGAATAGCTGGTCACTATATTTATCGCGTAAATGGATGGTCATATCCATATTTTAATTTCTTGGGAGAGTCAATCATATGATAAGTACTGACTGGATTATTAATCGTTTCTAACGTTTTCTCTCAATTTATATAGCTAATTTCAGTGACGCTGCATAAAAAATCTTATGTAGTCGTGCTATTGCAAAGCAGTATAGGAATGTAGGGTTGTTACTGTTTTTAATGGACCTTTGTTTTAACTATTCTCATGAAATGAAATGAAATGAAAACTAGATGATTTTTTCGTGAAGAAGTTATAAAATTTGAGTTATATACTTACCATATATTCTATCTTAATTTTTTTATACATTAAATGATCATGTAGATTTTTTCAAAAATATGATCATGTAATTTATGAACGCGTAATTTATTAACGCGACCCATCTAATCCGGGCACAAGCCACATGACCAATTAAAGCCTAAGCTCATTACTGGGCTCCGTGTCTTCATTTAAGCCCATTTGACTCAGTCCCTCGTTCCCGTGAAACAGTGCGCGTGGCCCCATGTGTCCGGTCCCCCCCACCCCCACTCGAGTAAATAAGAGTCACGTGCAGAAAACGTCAACTTCACTTATCCACTGAGATGTTGACGCGTGGTTACCAGTGGAGCGTCGTTCAACTGCCCACTCAGCAAACAGCAAAGTGCCATACGCGTCCATTTTCTATTTGTGGAAACATCTGTTTGCTGTTTTACGATGCAATGAGGGAATTAAATTTCCGTTGAGAATCTACGGTCTATAAATAGAGGACCCATCCGTCGCCTCCGGCTTCGTTTTGCTTCGCACGCGGCAGCAGAGTGCCGGGTCAAGCTTGGGAGAGGAGTGAAGGGAGGAGAGAGAAAATTTCTATTTTTAATTCTTCTTCTATTTTTTTGGAGGAAAAATTATAAATAGAAAAGTGGGGAGGAATTCGATCGCTCTCCTCAGTTACTTTGTTTCTTCAACTGCAATCGCTCTTCTCATGTAAGTACTCCTCTTTCTTGATTTACCATTTGGAATTTGATTAGGGTTAGGGTTTGATTTTGTTTCAGTTCAATTTGTTATGAAAATTTAGGGGGCTG